GGAAAAGGCCAGTGATAGCTGCCACATCAAATATGATAAGTGTCAACATCCCACAACGAAGTTGGAAAGTGTTGGTCAAACCTTCTTAAAAGAAAAGTGAAGCAAGAATAAAGTTGGGATCGATTGTATAGGCGCTCCACGAGATTTGAATAACATCAAAAATGCAAAGCTTCTCCCATTGAGATCTCTGTTGCCCCTGGACTTTATCGAGCCAAGCGAGATACGCCGTATCACCTGACACAAGTATGTAGGTGAACACCGTGTCATTAAAAACCATAACCCTAACATCAATGGGTTTTGCATGCTTGAATGCATAGGGGATAACAAGGGTAAAACAAGGGAAGTACTTATTGACAGTTTCAGGATGTGTCTCTTGGGTTGGATAAGGCCCATAGAATGCGAAGAGTTTCTTCCCAACAACAAAGGGAATGAGCATTTGGTGTTGTCATTCTTTGATCTTGGATTTCACCTTAGATGAGGGCTCTGGGATGAAGTCCAGACTTTGTTTCGTAGAAATAGAGAAGGCTATGAGGTTATTACCAATGTTGAATGGAGTACCAGATGGAGTGGCCATTGTAAAAAACAGAGTAGGTCTCTTCAAGATTTTCAGAGATTACAGAGTTTGAAGAAATAAAGCAGAAGGAGAAAAGAAAGGAACTGGAAGTTTTTAAAGATCTATTTAAAGAGAGTTTAAAGCCGTTAAAAGAGAAATAAGTGTCACTCGATATGGAGTGAGCATGTCGAGAAGTGGAAAAGTTAGTGGGGTTCATTGGAAAACCCGCACCCTAAAACCTAAGAGTAATCATGGAAATTGATTGGTTGATATAAGAAACTATTGCACAGAAAGTAGTCATGATTACACATGACGTCACACTGAGGAGACACGCGGTCGAAAACTTGGAATAGAAAATTCCAAAGTTCTCTCGTCGACAGAGGATCATTCGAACATGTCATTTTGGGAGGAAATTTATTGACAAACAATTTTCGACCAGGAAAGTAAGCCCTCAAGCTGCAAGGTATCTTTTGCTAGAAATGCACGTTTCCATAAAGAGCAATGTGACACATCAATAAAGGAAAAATAAATGTTTAAACTAGGAAAGGTGGTCAACAAAGACACCAGTGTCGGAGGTAGGCCCGACAGACATAAGTGTCGATAGACAATGATAAATGGCGGCAAGAGCGGTTATCAACTCACAAGCGAGCAAGAACACGGGGATGTCTCAAAAGATTTTATGGCAATTTCTCCATGAATCCTAACATGGGACTAGTAACCATCGACGATTACACTTTTAGAATTTCTATTTAATCAAACATTTGTATTTATGTTAGAGGTCACATTTCTTCATATTTAGAGTACTACACTCAAAGTACCCACATCTAAGAGAGAAACGAGTTCAGACTTGACAATGTATGAATGCTTCCACATTTAAATTCAAAGCAATTTCTAATTTTCACTTTAAATTACAAGTCTTGTCATTTATTTTCTCTTTACCTTGCAATTGTCCTTTACTTTTGCCATTTCTACTTATGAATCATATATCAACAAGTTTCAACCCAAAACACTCAAAATATTAAGTCTAGGATTATTATAGTCAATCCTGCAAATAACCTTTAATAAGAGGTTAGAGATTGTTCGCGAGAAACATCCTTATAAACTTAACATGTGTCAGTTTCAGGTATTTTTTCACTCTCATTATAAACAAATTTTTGATTACTTTACTTATTTATTTTTTGATGTACTAACCTTTCCCACTCCACCATATTTAAAGCACCCACCACCACACTAGACTATTTTCTTTCCACTCGTTTCCTATTTTGATTTCATCCTAGAAGAAATTTCACTTACCATCCCTACAAATTTTATGTGCAATGAGATTATCATGTATGATCTTAAAATTATGTTTTTAATTTATGAGATTCAGATTATTAATGTTTCTATATAGTTTATTTATTAATAGAGTAATATGATATAATATATTTAGGGTTAAATATACAAATCCCCTGTAATATTAATGAGTTTAAGTTTTAGCTCCTGGTAAAGTTTTTTTTAAAAGCCCCCTTATCTTATTTGGCAGGGTCTGGGTGGTTTTTTTATTTCATGTTATTTATTTAATTAGTGACATGATATTTGCTTTAGCTCTAAAATGAAAATAAAGAAATAATCTCAAAAAATTTAAGTTCCAGTGGGTTTCAAACACAGGAATAATTGCATTTCCATCATTCATCCATCCACTCGGCTAACTATCATTAGTTGATAATGTTTAAGCTGTAGAAGATTAAACATTCACTCTCTCTTTCACTGTTACCTGTTACTTTCACTCTCTCTTTCAATACCACCAAAGCTTATAAGAATTCAAATAAACCAAATATTTTCTTTACATATCCCTTCTTCACTGCCTATAGATGAAAGATAGCACATAAAGTCTTACCAAATGAATAAGACCTCAGTAATAGACGCCAGAGCAACTCCACCAACAATAGGCACAAGGGAACCAATCACCCAAGGTGTATGCCTTTGTCAGAAAGTGAGATATGGGATTACTAATGGAAAAATTACCTTAGAATACAAGCGTATTGAATTTTCTATCACCAGATATAATATATAAGCTAGACAACTATTTTTAAATCGCGGCTATGGTGTAGCAGAACTTAAGCAAATCACTATTCACTGTAATCCATAATTGACAATAATGTACTGGAGAAATATACAATCGACTTTAAAAAAGGGACTGGTCACAATTGTAGTATGATGACATCAAAGTTTTATATGTGTCTGCGACTATAATATCAAAGACCGCGACCGTAATTTAAAATCTTGTCAGTTTGATACATACTTATCAACTACCATCAAATTCATTGAAGATTAACTACAACAATCAATGTCATGTTACAGTGAAAATAAAACAAAGTTACATTCTAACCTCTCCAAGAAACATGGCAGAAAGGATAACTGAAAAGAAAGATTTCATAACTTTAATAGTGTGAGTAAAAGACACAACCGCCTTTCCAAGACTCATATTAGTGAAAAGGTTCCCCAAAATATGCACAATAACTAGTGGAAATATAGCTGCAAGCTGAAAACAAAATAACACACACATACATAATCAACAAGCAAATTGAACTGCCGTAACAATTACAGGGAAATGACACACCTTCAAAACCTGCATAGAAACAAAAAGAAAAATCACTATAAATTCAAAATGCTCCTCAACATTGGAGAATACAATATTTCACAATATAAAAACTAACGTTGAAAGAGAGAGTGAAAGTAACAGGTAACAGTGAAAGAGAGAGTGAATGTTTAATCTTTTATAACTTAAACATTATCAACTAACAACAGTTGACCGAGTGGATGGATGAATGATGGAAATACAATTGTTTCTCAGTTCAAAATCCATTGGAACTGACATTTTTTGAGATTATTTCTTTGCTTTTATTTTAGAGCTAAAGCAAATACCATGTCACTAATTAAATAAATAACATAAAATAAAAAAGCCATCTAAACCCGGTCAAATAAGCATTTGGAATAAATCTTTTAAGACATGTGACATTTAGAGAGAAAATTGACAAAATCTAAATAAGATAAAAAGGTTTTAAAAAAAAAAACTTTATCAAAAACTAAAACCTAAACTCGCTAATATTACCGGAAGATTTATATATTTAACCCATAAATTTATTAATATTGTAGTTTATTCCCATAACACTAGTTTTTAAATATTAATCTCAACAATTGACGGACAAGATTTAGCTACGGTAAAAAAGTTTCTAAAGACCACGCAGTCATGTGTTGATAAATAAGATTGGACGGCTACGATTCAAGCATGACATTTTTTTAATTATTAAATAAAAATTAAATCCGCCTTAAAGATCGGATGGCCAAAATTAATTTGCGTGTGGGATCAATGAAAAGGCCGACTGCAAGAAATCCAGTTTCGACGATTGACTGACTCTATCTCTATCTCTAATCGGAGCTTTCCGTTTCCTCTGTATTCCTCTCCGGCCACGATCGACCACCTCCACGAGCCGCCACCTTTTCATATCCATTATCCGGTAGCTTTCACTACATTTTTTCGCTCTATCTGCCTCTCATTTTTTCTTCTGTTAGTTTTTTTTTTGAATTGTTGAATACAGTGATTTTTCTAATTTCGATTGTTGAAACTTGAATTTGTATCTCTATTCTTGTTGTTGAATGCTGATAACTTGTAGTTGAATGTTTTTAGATGATGAATTTTAATTTTAGGGTAAATTTTGAGATTAAATGTTAGGCTGAATGAAAAATGTTTGTTGTTAAGATAGAATCTGAACTGAAGTTGAATGTTGTTGAGCCTTGCAATTGAACTCTGTTGAACCTTGAAATTGGATGTCGTCATTGTACTTGAACCTTGAAATTGAATGTTGTTATCATTGTTGTACCTTGAATGTGCCACATAAAGAACATATTTCAGAATAATGATGAAAGAAGAGGAGTATAGTAAACTACTTATTCGAGGGACCATTGACGGTGATTGTGTCATTCGTCACATTCTCAAGTCCTTGATCAACAAAACAAAGGATTTAACTCTTTGCTTTTGATTTCATGATTTTCATCACAAGTCCGTGATTAAGTAGGGTGTGTTTTTTGTTATGACTTTATTTGAAATGATGATCACAGTAGGGTGGTGTTAGAATTTTATCAATTGTTATGTTATTGTGTAAATGGTTGTATTCTTATGTGATTCTTTGAATTGTTTAATTTGTTTGTCTTAGAGATTTGTGGTGTTGTTGGAGTTTTTAGACCATGATATTTTCTAACAAGGACCTGTGATGAAATCATATAACAACAACAACCACAACAACCATTCAACATGTATTTACATTAGTTGTTTTTGGGACTGTGTCACTCTATCATTAACTATTTGTTTTTCCTTTAGATCTATTCTCTTAATTTGTTCTGCCTCCTTTAATGAATTGGTTGACTTATAAATTGGTTTAGAAGTGCAAGGAAAAAACAGTGCGCTGCTATGGACCCATCTATAGTCAAGCTTCTTGAAGATGATGAGGTTTTCTTCTCTCTACTGTTTACTTTCCAAAAAACACATTTGCTGATCTTTAATTGGGGCTTCATTGTACCATCACGGTGTTTTGATGTCCACAGGATGAAACTATGCATTCAGGAGCAGATGTGGAAGCTTTCCAAGCTGCAATGATTAGAGACATAGGCGGAGATGCTTCTAATTCTCAGCTATCTGATTCAGATGCAGGTATCCTTCAATTTATATTATATCTAAGCTCCGGATATCATATTTGTAAATTGGTCATAAATTCCTACATATTAGTGAACTTCACTCCCTTTGCCTTTTTGCATTAAGATTGGTAGAAATACATGGTATGACATTTTAAAGGAAAAATAAGAGAATAAGCAGACAAAATGGAAACTAGCATACCATCATTATGAAATTCAAAATATTGCATGATTCAAATTAGTAGACAACATAGTGGGATCAAGAAAACGCGAACAAAAGAGGATGAAAACATTAATAAGAAGGGTGAAGAGACGGCATGCTGTATTGTGCTAGGGTTGTTTCTTTGTTATTTCAACCTGGGCTATTGTAAGGTTAGATTTTGGAAGATCATGTCTCATAAGGAAAAAAAATTGCAAAACAAATCCTGTCTCATAGGTCTTTTTGAAAATGGGTTGCATGACTTGATCCGTTTTTGAGGTTGCGCCCACGGAGGAATTTGTATCATGGGATTCATCCGAGAACATGGATTCTTGGAAATTAATAGAGTTAAAGAAGTGACATGTTCCAAAAAAAAAAAAAGAAGTGACAAGATGATTTGTGCTGTGGAGTAACATAAGGGTTTGAGAGATAAGGGGTTCTGTGTGTTAAACTCCCTCTGATAACATATCGAACAAACTCACATTTAAAAAAAAATAGCGAATTGGGATTCTTGCTGCAATTCAAGTCCAAAAGAGGTTCACAGTTTGATCTGTATCAAATCTGTATTGATCATGATGATTGCATGGAATGTAAGATATTGAAAAATTCAACATTTAAGCGCACATATATTATAAAAAGGGGTTTCATATATCTGTCCCTCCAACTTAAAATACTCTCTTTTCTAAATAAATCACCACTATTGCTTGTATCTTCAAAAAAATATCTGAATGGTTGGTTGGTTTTTTTGTCCTTCTGTTGACTATGAACTCTCTTGCTCAGATTCTTGTATTATTATTTTCTAAAATATTATATTTATGTTAGCTAATTGAAGCAGAAAGGGGCCCCTATGATTTTTCATCTTTTGTTGCTCAGTTAGTTTTCTTTCTAACACCCCATTTAAGTCTCAGTACTATTGTTTATCAGATTTTTCTTCTAATTCTTGCATACTATTTATAAAGAAGAGTTTGTAATTTTCTATCTGATTATTCATTATTTAAGATTCCAGTATTAATATATAATCAGAATATCTGGATTATATATTAACTGTTGATTCATGTTATTTTTCTATTTACTTGATAAATTCTTAATCACATACACACATAGCGCTATGACGATTGCTTCATTTTTTGTTGCTGAAGGAAGCAATAATTCATTCAGTCAATCATTACCAACGTGGCCAACTTCTAGCCATGACAACCAGACTGACTGTCAAAATCAGGAGCCTAAAATTGCACAAGAGCAACCTTCATCTGAAATGGAGCTGAAGCAACAAGGACCTGTCGTGGAACAGATACAAAATGTTGCCTCACAAGATACAAGTAATCCTACTTTATTACACAAACAATCTCAAGATGAATGTCTCCAACGCCAGACTGTACCGGTTTCCCACCAACATTCTCAAACAAATGAAGTTCAGAAGTCTGAAAAAGATCCTGTCTTTAACCATGAGGTAATCAAAACAAATAATCCCAACTGTGAATCACAGTATGCAAAATTGCAGCAGATGAGTAATCAACAGGCCACAGTAAATGAACAACCTAGTAGCCAAATCAATCGTAGTAAGCAGGTGCCATTTGGCTTATTGCTCCCTATCTTGATTCCCCAACTTGCCAAAGATAGAGCAATGCAACTTACAACATTATTTAACAAATTGAAGGTGGGTTTCTCAAACCAGTTTCACTATCATGTCCTACTAAAGTTTGTTGTGCAGGGCTTTTTTCACATTACTAAGTTTTATGTTTTGACAATTTTGTTTTCATTTGTTCTAGAAAGATGAAATACCCAAAGATCATTTTGTACGGCTTATGAAAGGGATTGTGGGGGATCAGATGCTTAGAATAGCATTGACGAAAGTGCAACAACAAGTAGGTAGAGTAGATGGTTTATGCAGTCTTGCAGATGTTTTTTCGTAAGGCGGTTGAATATTGATTTCAATGTTATGTTAAGAACCATCCTTTTTCTTGTAGACAAAAGCCAATGCAGGTTCTTCTGGACAGCAGCACCCTGTAAGGATGCCAACGGTTACTTCCAGTGGAACAAAATTTAATGATCCCCATGCATTAGCACAACTGCATCAGAGAAGTATGAATCCTGCTGCAGACCATTCTCATAATACTTCTTCAGCTATCCAAGTGAAGAGTGAACCGACCTATTCAACTATGGACATTGGTGCTAAAAAGTCTCTGGAACATGATGTTCGAGTTGTGCAACCAAATCAATTACCATCATCAGGTTCTAATGCCGTCAGTCAAGAAACTGAAAGATCCTCAGTTCACATACAAGGCCTTAATAAGCAGCAACAGCAGCATATACATTTCCCATCGACATATGGAAGCAGTGGTGGTAACTATAACCATTTTTCCGGGACAACTACTGGTTCGTCATCTCTCAGACCACAACCTCATCCTCATGATTCACACATAAGGCAAATTCCTCATCAGAATATTGGTTTAAATCACTTGGGTGTAGAACGACAAAGTTCTTTCACTGATCCTAAGAGAATGCCAGGTGGATCTGTGTCGACTGGTGTAAACAATACAGCACCACAACAAACTTCAACTTCTTGGCAACCTTCAGCAGAACAAAATTCTGGCTTGTTTTCATCTGTTTCATATGTAAAAAAGGAACCTAACGACCTTTCTATTGAGCAGCAACATAGGAATCATTTATCTAAATTGCATGGGTTGCCTTCTGTTAATTCTGGTCAAACTGAACAGGGTAGTGGTGTCAATCAAGGCACTGTAAAGGATGAGTTTTCAAGAGGTTCTTTAGCACTCACTAGCATGCCACATACAACATCTGCTAGCTTGCCCACATCAAGCTCTGCATCTCAACTAGATCCAACTGTCTCTGTAAGTTACAAATTATCAAGCATGTCTGTCAAAAAGTTGCTAAATACCTATAGTTTTAGGGATCAAATAGTATCCAAAAGTTATTTTTTGTTTTCTTCAAATTTCAATAACCTTCCTATGCTCACTGGTTTTTATCCGGGAAATACTATTAATCTGCTTGAATTGATCGAAATATTTATAAATTTGATCTCCCTATTGTTAAAATTCTGTGAAATATTACGACTTCTTTTTGAGAGATCGGTAATCTTTGCTATACTCACTTTCTCCTTTTCTTGTTTGTTTTCTTTTTTGTTTATTTATAGAGGATTTCTCTCTCTATATTGCTTCCAGTCTCAATATCTTTCTTAAACAAGTCTGATTTTTTTTGCCAATAATCAAGAGTGAATTTATGGTTCTATCTTACCAGATCAAAATAATTAGGGTTGTTAGGATTTGTAGCTTCAGTTGTCATTCTCTTTTTTCATGTGGGGTTGTAACAATAGTTCATGGTTTGAATCGGGAGCTTGTGTTTAGGTGTTATTCACTCTGTTTTTAATATCAAATTCTTACTTGTTTTTGGAATTCTCGCTAGAACTCGTCTACGCTGAATTTCCTTAATAAGGTAGCATTGTAGTTTTGACTTTCTACAACCTATCTATTGCTTGAAAAATTCTTCTTGCCTTGAGTACTATAAAATATAAATCTTCAATCCACCCCTTTTCTCCATAGTACTTTGACAGTCTTACAGGATAGGATAGGACTCAACTAACTTTCACTTAGTTGCTAACTGTTTTGTAAATGTCAAAACTGTACGAACACAGTTTTGATGGTTACAAAACAGTTAGCGTCTAACCGAAAGTTAGTTGACTCCTATCCATTAATTGAGAGTAACATGCCTATAGTTTGTATTAGGCTCTCCTTTTTAAAGCATTTTACTGTTGCGAAATATGAACTCAGTTTTTCTTTTTTATAAGTTTTTCTGGAATACCAAGCCATCATTCTGTTTACAAGGGCATGTTCCATCCATGTTTTTAATGATATCTTAAATACTTTCTGATACATGATTTCTTTTCCTCTTTTTGTATCAGTTAAGCTCTCAGATCCCAGCTAGCACTTCTGGTATGGTGTCAAAGACACCTGTAAAAAGACCTCTTGGCCAGAAGAAACCACTTGAAACACTTGGTTCTTCACCTCCTCCTCCAAGGTGAGTTGCAGTATTCCGCTGGTTCATGATTTTTTTTCTGGGTTGGTTATTGCATTCTCTTACTGATTTTATTATATGCATACCTGCTTCTTATCCTACAGTAAGAAACAAAAGGTGTCTGGGTCATCTATGGAACAAAGCATTGAACAGCTTAATGATGTTACAGCTGTTAGTGGTGTTGATCTTAGGGTATGATGCGTTGTCACATTGAAGAAAACCATAGTCAGGAATGTATACTTTTCTGTTTTAACAATTTCAAGCTGTTCTTATGTTCTCGTTATATAGGAGGAGGAAGAACAGTTATTTTCTGGGTCCAAAGAGGACAGTCGAGTTTCAGAAGCATCTCGAAGAGTTGTGCAAGAAGAGGAAGAAAGTCTGATTTTGCTAAAAGCTCCATTGCAGAGAAAATTGATTGAAATTAGTCAGTCCTATTTATGCCATTTCTGTCCATCAGATTTTCTTTCCTTTTTTCAAACTTATCTACATATGTACTTAGGCCTATATAAGCCTTATAGCTATTCTATTCTGTCATCTTGGCAGTGACTGAGTGTGGCTTGAAAGGCATGGGTAATGATGTGGAAAAATGCTTGTCACTGGTGAGTTTAAATCTATTTTTCGTTATTTATTACAAGTAGGATTCCACGTAATCTTACGGCTGAAAATAAATGTTCAGTGTGTAGAAGAGCGAATGCGCGGAGTAATAAGTAACATAGTCAGAATGTCAAAACAGGTCAGTTATTTTCTATAACTGCTTGCACGAGTAGCCATTTTGTCAATCTGTAAGTTTTCTTAATTACAATAACTTTTCTACCAGAGGGTTGATATTGAGAAAACAAGACATCGAACTGTTGTCACTTCAGATGTTCGACAGCAAATCATGGCAATGAATAGGAAAGCAAGGGAAGAGTGGGAGAAAAAACAGGCTGAAGTAGACAAGCTCCGGAAACTAAATGATGTGGGTTCCACTTCGTCACTTTGTGGAATTTTTGTTTATTTGATGGCCTAATATAACTCTTGTCCCTGCACATTTCTCGTGCTTGCATATATTTTATATTTTTGCATCTTAGATTCAAACCTATATGCTTATTATTTAAAACATTGTAATCTATTTTTAAAGTATAGGTAGAAGGTGGTTCTGGAGTTGATGGTGACAAGGACAGGGATGATGGTCGCAATAAAGCAACAAAGGTACTGTATCAATTTAGATGACGTAATTCACCATTATCTATGTGGGAAGTCTTATTTTTTATTGGTAATATCTTGCAGGTGAACAAGGAAGTAGATGACAAAATGAGGACAAATGCTGCAAATGTTGCAGCTCGAGCTGCAGTTGGGGGAGATGACATGCTGTCAAAGTGGCAACTTATGGCTGAGCAAGCCAGGCAGAAACGTGAAGGGGGAACAGACACTGCATCTGGTTCTCAGCCAACCAAAGATGTCAGTCGCAAATCTTCACCATCATCAGGAAGGAGTACAAAAGACAATCAAGAAAGGGAGAGAAAAGGTCCAAATTCTCTTGGGAGTTCAGGTGGGTGTCTTTTTTGTTGTTTCGTACCACTTCAGTTGTTGATAAATTCAATGGAGTTTCTATCTTTACCGTTGTGCGTTTGCATGGGTCACATTGATTTTTATGCATATCTACAACTGATATATAATGATTTACTCAAAATAAACCTTAATTATACATATATTGCCTAATATTCAAATTTAGTTGGCAGAATGAAAACTTTGTAAAATCCAATTTCCTAGCAGAAAGCAGTAGAGCAAACCAAAGTCTGAAGGGGAATAGGAGAGGATGAATGTACTGCCATCATCCAAAATCAATCAGTATATGTGTACTGAACTAACTTATAAGTTATTATTGCAATACCAATGTCAACGCAGGAAAATAAAACAAGACAGCAATTCTCAAACAGTAGAAAAAATAATTTTTAACAATATTTGTTCTGTTATCAATGCATACATTACATGGCTGCCTCAGAAATTTATATAGACGGTACAATATAGTCTACCAATCAATTGTTGTGCGCCACCACTGTTCTGTCTTGAAATAATAACTTTACATCATAATTTTTTTGTTCAAATGCTTTAATTGAAGAGAAAATTAAGACTAAAATGCCCAAGCCCCCCATCATCAAGGCACTGATGGAATGAGATAAGAACCAACATGTTATTTTAAGTTGCAGTTCAACTGCTCAGTCCGTATTCTACTATCATATATTATTACCATACTCCTAATCCCTAATATTGCTCTTAAATTTGGATCTAGTAACTGAAATTGCCGATTTATGCTGTAGTCATATATAAACCTCTTTGTATAAATATTATAGCACAGTCCTGAAAAGATTACAAATCACAAAAGCACAGATATTCAATTGGAAGTCCCGAGCTATATAAAACAAAAATCTGCTTTGTAAGCAATTTTAGTTTTTCTAAACATTTTCCTTCAGCCCAGCAACGTAAAGAAGAAAATACAACGAAAATACAATGAAGGAAGAAATGAAAAATCTAACTTCACACATGTGCCAGCTGGGGGTTTGTGTGTGCTAGTGTGTATACTATAATTTTCAATTGCAAAATAGATTCTTGAGGCAAATAAGTTGAGGAAGAAAATTGGAGGACAAATGATGATCAATTACTTAAATGAAAAGAAATAGGCTTTTGTTAATACTTGTTTTTTTGGCTAAAGTGGTAATAATAAAGTAAATGTGGAATATCTTTCTCTTCTCAACTTTTTTGTTAAATAACAGAGTATGTCAGTATTGTTTGTTTTTCCCCATGTTCCCTGTGATCAAATTGTATGTGCATTTTTGGAAAACTGATTCTGCATGACCTAAACTTGCATAAAAAGTATTAGGGAATTCAAACTTCACCAGTAAAACTTTATCTATCCCCATGGTCTCTAGATACAATACAAAATGTGTGTATCCCCATCCTTTTTTGTTGATATTAGTTATCCTCATGTGATCTTGTTGACAACAGCGTCTGGTAGGAAGTTTGGGAAAAATCATTCCCCTGGATCTCAAACTCGCATAGCTCGTAGCATCTCCGTGAAGGATGTGATTGCAGTCTTGGAGAGAGAACCTCAGATGTCCAAATCATCACTCTTATATCGATTGCATGAGAGAATTCATTCTGATACTTCAACCGAATAAGGTAAAATGAAATATCTAGGTCATTTTTTCCTTTATATATTACCATTGAGCTTATGCTTATCGGTTGATTAGTGACATCAATTGGTCCCAATTTCAGTTCGGCTTCAAGCAACTAGCCCTCTTTCATGTCCACCCTCTGTATTCTCTTGTATTCAAATCACTATAGGGTAATTTGGAAATAATAGTGAAATTAAACTGAAACTCATCAGTGGGAAAGTTGTTGTTTGTAGCTATGAGCTGATGTCTATGGACACTATTTCATGTCTGGCTCCATTTGACTAACTGTCAAAATGATAGTCATGTTTGTTGCTGTATGAAATTAAGTAGCATTTAGCGTTTCAATTATCAAATATTTCGCAGCAGGTGCATTTGATTCACATGCACTTTAATTGTACAGCTCAAAGTTCTGTATATAACAGGATGGTGATGTGCAATTAGGAGGCATGTAAAAAGATTTGACTCATTCAGTGAAAGGTTGTTTCTTTCATATTATTCGCCCACATTCAGTAACACAGTTTTGGCTTACAAAAATTTATGTAACATTATTTGAAAATTAGAATGGTAGGAGAACTAGTCAATATTTACTAGGAGTATCAAGGAAAGGAACGTGCCAAACTTGCCAACATGCACATCTCTAGGTTTATTAGCATATTTATGATAAGAACATTGTAGCTTGTTTGTTGAATGAACCTAGATGTTTGGTTCGTTTTGCGTGAAAGTAATTCCTCATGGTTGCCGATATTTTAGTTATTGATTAATTTTTATTTATTGGGTAATGCTAACATGTGCATAAAGAAACTTTTATCTTGGAAATTGTACTGAATTTATTACAAATATTTAATTATTTATTTTAATTTATTTTTTCATGACAAAATTTTCTAATTATAGGTTTTAACATGTGCGCACATGTTAGCATCATCCTCCAAACACTATTACTTCTATTATTCTTAATTCAATACCTTTCAATTTACATTAATAATATTAATAATATAATAATAATAATAATAGTGAATATACTAGCATATGATGTTAAATTATTATTATTATTATTATTATTATTATTATTATTATTATTATTATTATTATTATTATTATTATTATTATTATTATTATTATTATTATTATTATTATTATTATTTTTATTATTTATTTTTGCATTTTTTAAATATGTATGAAAAATGTCAATTTAAATACTTATTATGGACGAAAAGAGCCGTGCTTATGATCCCTGTAGACAAATTTACTTCATTCAAACTCTCAATTAGACTTGTACTCCCCCTCTCCTACGTATAATATCTTACAAAAATAACTTTAAAAAATCACATGACCCCCTCGTTTGAAAAATCTGTAAAAAAAACTTAAGTTCAAATAAATTAAAATTTTTTAAATAATGAAAAGATTCAATTTGAATATTTAAATTTAAAAAACTTAAATGAATGAAAATCTGACTTAAATATTCAAATCAAAAGACTGAAGAAATATCCAGTCTAGATAATCAAACTGGAATTTTAAATTGTCATGCATTTAATTCTTATTTTTCTTAGTGGAAGTTTTATATAATTGGAAGATTCCGTTTAATTTTATATAATTGGAAGATTCTTAAGTAATCAAAGTGAATTTTCACATTATATAATTCATTCAATTTTTAGAATATTTTTTTTGCAATAACTAGGTATTGAAAAAAAAAAACATAAATAATCATGTTTCGGGAAAAATTATGCAAATAATATATTTCAGAAAACTCCACAAAAGAGAAACTAACCTAGTGGCACATGCACCTAAAACTAAAGAGGGGACGCCATCTCACTTGGCGCCTAGGTGCTAAATGGTTGCCCTAAGCCATTTGAGATGGCGCCTAGGTGCAATAGATGTGCGATTTTATTTTAAATGCGAGACAATAGGTAAATAATATAGTTTTACGAAAATTCAAATTTTCATACAAAAAACAATTACATAATGAAAAAAAACCATACAAAAATAAGTAGTGGTCCCCTGGAACTCGGTAACGACCCGTGGTTCCGCATCCGCGTCCTTGCCTGTCTCGTGGTGGGTTTCATCATATTTTCTGATGCGGCAGGGTCGATGGTCCAACGAAGTCAATGCGTTCAGGATTCGTGAAATCAGTCAGATCACCATATCTGAAAGATCCATTTTGGTACAGTCGGTTACCCACACCCTTAAAGTTTGGTCGTCTTGGTGGTGGGTGGGGTTCTATGAATAGTCTATAGCACTGGTTGTCTAAGTAGGGGGGATAGAAAGGAAATAAATTTTGGGGTGTTTGGTACTGCGTCTGTTGGGTGCTATGGTGATGTGGTGGTTGATGGTAAGTTGGGCCGATTGAATCATATTCTTCGGAAAATTCTAGATCAGGGCTAAGGTTAGATGTTGAAGGCTCCACATTGGGATATGGAGAAGACTGGAATTGTGTGTGGGGCATGCTGGTGTATTGGTATTGTAATTGAGATTGTGGTTGGGTGTGGGGCATATGGGGGTATTGGTATTGAGGTGGTGATTGTGGTTAGGTTTGGGGCACATGGGTTTATTCGTATTGTGGTGGTGATTGTGGTTGGGTGGTCGTGGATCTGTATCATCGGGATGGTTGGTGGGAGGTTGATGTGTGCTAGGTTTGTTGTTGGAGATTTGAGGGTTGTGCCCATTGTGTTTGTGGGCCAACCAAATATCTCGGATAAGACACGTGCATTTCTGAGTTACTAATCGATCTGTACCAAGCAAAATATTGATCTGTGTGTCGCATATTATTCCGGTTGAGGAAAATAGGGAATTGCAAGACATGTTGGTGACGCCTATGCCACATCTTACAACATTATGGAGCAAAATATTTCTAATTAGTAAGACCCCATTGGGCATCAACCCTTTTGAGATGCCAGGGGAGAAACAAGTTGGATCGCAAAGTATCTCTTGATGCATTCTGAACTGCATCTTGACACGGTCGATGTGGTGCATCTCCACAATATTGAACCGTATGATTGCTGTCTTTGTGGTCCAAACTGCTGCATCCTCAGAGTTTGGTTCATGGTTCAAACCCAAATATAGTCTCCAAATAAATTGTGGATAAAATTAAATTAGCATAATGAAAGCGTAATACATAAATAATTTAAAAGTAAAAAAATTCAAAGGTGCGACATACATCATTCGGGCCAAGGTGATCCAATAGATTACGATATAGAACGGCATTGAATCTTGAATTCTTTTCATAATTCATACCTGTCACGCAGTACCTAAAGGAATTGTAAAATAGTTTATTTTAAACATATATTTTACGAACAGATGAATAATAAATGATTTAAGTTCTTGACTTACTTTGTTGTGTATGGGAAAACGAATGTGTTGTTGTTGAAGGGGTTTAGGGACTCCATTCTCCACCAACCCCAGGCATTGAGTAAGAAAACACATCCTTAAAAAGTATATTTTTCCTTTGTTGCATTTTTACACAAAGAACTGTATAGATGGGCTAAAACAACAGAACTCCAACTATACTTTCTAGTTTTTTCAAAGTTTCTAAGTAAATTTAAATACATAAAATTTACACTATTCTCCGTACTTTCGGGAAATAAAAACGTTCCAAATAGTATCATCATATAATTTCTAGTTTTTATTACTATTGCTAGCTCGAAGGAATTTTCGTTCAACTCCAGAGTCGCATAATATTTTTTGAGTTCAGTAAGTAATGTACCTTGGCCTCTAGCACCACCACCTTCAACCATATCTTTGCCCAACAATTTCTCGCATAGAGAATTAGACTGTTGAACTGACCCGTTAATTGTCTTACCGTCGATAGGGAGACCCAACAACATGCACACATTCTCTAGTGTGACAGTACATTCACCTATTGGTAGATGAAATGTGTATGTCTCGGGTCTCCACCTTTCCAACATTACAAGTATAAACTTTGAATCAATCGTGCAATTGGAGATTTTTATAACATTTTCAAAACTCGCATATTCGAGATATGACACGATCAACGGGTCAGGAGCAATGTAGTTATGTGAGCGAATTCTGAATCTTTTGGTATCCTAAATTCAAAATGTAAAAAGTGTAAGAGTCCATAAAATGACTAAATCGATAATAATATTATAAAAAATATATTAGTATACAAGAATATTTGAGAATTTATAAATACTTACAAACGCCGCAATGTTGTCCCTTGTGCTTCTGAGAATTTCCCATTGTGAGAAGAGCCATAGTTGAAATTGTATAAGACAATGAAAGAATTTGTATCAGAGAATGAGATGATTGTTGACGCAAAACAAGTATGCGAGGTGCTGTATTTATATGCGAGGTGCTGTATTTATATGCGAAATTGTATCACAAAGTGAATAAATGAGGTGGTTGGTGGTTGCATGTATGCATGATATGTGTCACTCATGCGCCAAGTCAAATGGCACATACATGCAATTTAGAGAGTATGCACCATTCAACTTGGCGTGGGACATGCCTAGTTGTAGCATAAGTGGCAGCCTAGGTGCAAGATAGTGGTGGCATAGGTTGCAACGTAGGTGCAGGCTAGGTGCAGTCTTGGGGAAGGCTTTTCTGCACGCATGTAATATGATTGGACATGTAGGGAAGCGCCATTTGACTTGGAGAATGAGTACAAAATTGAAAGGTGTCGTCATTCCAATTGGTGAATTAGAGGTGGCATAAGTTATAACGTAGGTGCAATCTCGGGGAAGACTTTTCTGCATGCATGTAATATAATTGGACATGTAGAGAGGCGCCATTTGACTTGGAGAATGAGTACAAAATTGAAAGGCGTCTCCATTCCAATTGGAGAATTAGAGGTGGCATAGGTTGCAGCGTAGATGCAGACTATGTGCAGTCTTGGGGAAGGCTTTTCTGTATGCATGTAATATAATTGCATCACAGAGTTTACGTCATGCAAACCTATTATTCAAATTGATGGGACTTGGTTGTACGGGAAATACAAAGGCACACTACTAATGGCAGTTGCACAAAACGACAACAACAATATTTTCCCAATT